TGACCCCCAATTCTCCCCCTGGTCCATGCACAGACTCCAGCTGGCCCCCATCCCTTGTCAGCCTCTGGCTCGTCCCTGTCCCTGCCAGCCCTCCCATGTCCCCACTGATGCTGTCCCCTGCCATCCCTCCCATGTCCCTCACTGTCCCTGTCCCTGCCAGCCCTCCCTGGTCCCTCCTGTCCCTGCCAGCCCTCCCATGTCCCCCACTGTCCCTGTCCCCTGCCAGCCCTCCCATGTCCCCCACTGTCCCCTGCCACCCCTCCCGTGTCCCCCTGACGCCGTCCCTGCTCCCCAGGCGCACGCTGGCCGACATCATCATGGAGAAGATCACGGAGAAGCAGACGGAGGTGGAGACGGCGCTGTCGGAGATCTCGGGCTGCCCCATGCCCCAGCTCGACCCCCGTGTCCTGGAGGTCTACAGGGGCGTCAGGGAGGTGAGGATGGAACATCCAAACCCACAGCCACCACCCTGAGGTGACAGCGCGCTCTCTTGTCCCTGCTGTCACTTCCCCCAGTCACAGCCTGGTGCTGTCCCTGTCTCTGCAGGTGCTGTCCAAGTACAGGAGTGGGAAGCTCCCCAAGGCGTTCAAAATCATCCCTGCCTTGTCCAACTGGGAGCAGATCCTCTACATCACCGAGCCAGAGACGTGGACAGCGGCTGCCATGTACCAGGCCACCAGGTAAGGTCACCTCAGGGACCCCACCAGGTAAGGTCACCTCAGGTAAGGTCACCTCAGGGACCCTCTGCCGTGGCATCTTTGGGGTTTTCGTTCCCATAACCACAGTCAGATCACCAAAATTGGTTACAAAACACCAACCTGCCCATCTGGCCTCCTTTCCTCACCCGTCCCTTCGTGCTTTGCTGATCCCAGGATATTTTCCTCCAACCTGAAGGAGAGGATGGCCCAGAGGTTTTACAACCTGGTGCTGCTGCCGCGCGTCCGCGACGACATCGCCGAGTACAAGCGGCTCAACTTCCACCTGTACATGGCTCTGAAGAAGGCTCTGTTCAAACCTGCAGCCTGGTTCAAGGGTAGGGCTCCTGCAGGGTCCCTGAGGGGCTGGTGCATGCCAGGGGGTGTGCAGGAGTGGGGTTTTCTAGGGAGAAGGGGCTGAGCTGTGCATGGAGGTGGTTGGTGCCTGGCTCTGGTGGGGCCCACAGGGGTCCCAGGA